GGCCCGGCCCCCCCAGCCGCCAGCCCCCTGGCCCCCTCCCGCTGTGTCTGTTGGGGGCACACCCCAGACGCCTCAGGGAATGTGTACTTTCTTTTAAACGTCCTCGCGCCTACAGGAAGGGCCACTGCAGACAAAGAGCCCTCTGACCTGGAGGAAGCGCGTTGGTCACTCCCCCCACCCCGTGAGACGGGAAGCCCGGCTCAGCGCCACCGGCCCCCTGAGCAGCACCCACTGCAGTCGGAGGGACCCGCCGGCCTCCTGCTCCTTCCCGGGGAGACGGACACACTCCGCTCGCCCGGGAGGGGGAGGTGTGGAGGCCACAGGACCAACCCGAGGTGCCAGCAGGTGACAAAGAGCGAGGAGGTGACGCCGCCGAGGGAAAGTGTGGCCCCTCCCCCCGGCTGCCTGAGTTTCGTTCAGAGAACTGATGTTCGTTCGGGGTTAGGGGCAGTTTCTCCGGCGCATCAGCCACAGCGAGGGCTCTGCGGCCGGATGCCGGGCGCCCATCACCCTGAATGTCCCGGAGGCCGGCGCTGGGCGGGCGGGGCTGAGGGCGCCCCCTTGTCCCTCTCCTGGGCCTGGTCCCCACTGTCGCCAGCACAGCAGGACCGTGAACTCCGTGCCACCGCTGAGGACGGGGGACTGGTGTAAAGTGAGACGGGGACTGTCCGCAGCGGCCTGGGCGGTGTCACGGAGCTTTCAAGGCCACTCCAAGTACAAATGTTCCGAATGCAAGTAGTTAAATGGCTTTGAAAATGGCTTCTTTTAGGAAATCCCCCTCCAAGCCCCCCCTTAGGAACGTCAGACTCGTCGGGATGTGACGGGTCCCTGAGGCCTGGGTGGCTGGGCGGCCACCATCCAAGGACAGAGCCTGGCTGGCAGGAGCCGGGAGCCTTCGGGAAGGAAAGCACGGCCCCGGCTCCCAGCTGCCCCTTGTTTTCACCAAGTTTAGATGAACGGAAGCCCACTCTTTGGATTTTTAAACCATAAATTCTGTTTTTCGGGTTTAACACCCAGTTTTCAGTTCTGCTCCTCCTGACTCCACAGGACCCGGGTACCTAACGGACACCGGTCAAGGGGAAACTGGGCGGCGCAGAAGGGCCCCCAGGTGCTCAGCGCCGGGGATGAAGGCAGCCACCGCACCTCCGCCTAAGGCAGGAGGGAGCCCGGGGACGGTCCTCCCAGGCTCGTCTCCCGGCGTCGTGGGTGCGCCCGGAGCAACACCACGTGACAGCGACGTCCGTGTGAAATCGGCCTCACGCTCAGGTCCCGGTGCGAGTCCAGCCTCTGCCTGCTGTGACGCAGGACCACTGCCTGGTGTCCCTGCCCTAACCGGAGCTTACCTGGGGGCACCTGGCAGGCTGGCACCTGAGCCCTCACCGCATCAAGCGCACCCAGTCCTCCCCCCAGCCCGCGGAGCAGCGCCCGGGCGCATTCGGGTAACTAACTGAACTCAGGTGAAAACAAGGGGAAACTGTAGATCCAGGCAGAAGCCCACTTACCTTCCTCTGAGCAGCTCCGGGGAACGGGGGCCAGCAAGGACAGCAGGGCCAGGGCTGGGACCAGCAGCCTGGACCTCGGCCCCATGGCTCCTGCTCGCACCAGCTCTCAGCCCCGGGCGGAGCCGTGGGGGGAGAACGCTTAAATGACCGCTCCCGGAGCTACAGGCAGCCTCCCTCCCCCCACCCCGGTCAGCACCTGCGGACCATCAGCCAACTGCGAGTCCCCTGGGAGACGCTCCCCCGCCAGAGCCGGGTCTCACCCACCCGGCCCGCGGGGCTGCTTCCCTCAGATCAAAGTGTCCTGAGTGATGCTGGCGTGAGCCCTCCCTCCGTGAGGCTCAACACAGCTGCACTAAAGTCAACCTGTTCCCCACCCGGGGTGGCTGGTGACACACAGCTGGTGCTCCGTCCATCACGGGACACCCGAAAACACAAGTTTGCCACACCTGGGACTAAGAGGAGCCACTTTGGCTGGTACAACTCGTAATTAATTGTTGAATTGACAACCGGCATGAGGTCTTCTGAAATCCCCCCTCTCCCCACTGGCTTTGGAATAAGGGCGTCTGGTCCTTTGGTCAGAGAGAGTAGGATGAGTTCTGGCCCCTAACTGTTCCCTCATCCCCCCCTCCCTGCAGCCTTGCGGGTTCTTTGTGCTTGGGACTCTCTGTGCCTCCTGAGCTTGTGTGACTTTTTCTTGACCAGGTTAGGGAAGTCTACTGCCGTTATTTCTTCAGACAGGTTCTCTAACCCTTGCTTTCTTCCTAAATCCTCTGACACGCCTATGATGTGAATATTAAGTTTCATGTCCCACAGCTCCCTCAGACTGTCCTCCTGTTTTTATTTTTTCTTTTTGGATCTCTGATTTTTTTCTACCCTGTCTTCTAATTCCCTGATCTGATCCTCAGCTTCTCCTAATCTGTTCATTCCTTCCAATGTTGTTTTTTTAATTTCTATGTCATTCTTCTTTTCCTTCATAGTTTCCGTATCTTTTGTCATGCTGTTGAGCATCTTTATGATCAGTGTTCTGAACTCTGTATCTGATTACTTATCTCCATTTCATTTAGCTCTTCTTCTGGAGAATTCTCTTTTTCTTTCACTTGGGGCTTGGTTTTTTGTGTCCTTGTTTTGGTTACCTGTTTGGATTTGTTTCTATGTATTAGGTAGATCTGCCAGGACTCCCAGTCTTTTGGATGGTCTCTGGTGCAGACAAACGTCAGACGCTGTTTGTGACTGGCCCTGAGAACCCTGTATGAAGTTTTCCACACTCCACAGCTTGTGGTTCCCTCTGCTGGGTCTGGGTGTTTGGACAGGACCAAGATGGGCACCAAGAACTGCTTTTCCAAGCCCTGGGTCCAGAAGCAAATCAGGCCAATGGCACCATTAATTTTAATACTATCTTGCAGCTAGGACCTGTTTTATCATTCCCAAGGGAAACAGGGGTTCATATGAAGCCTTTATGGCTCTCAGAGATGACCCTAAGTTAGGTGCTTTCTGTAAACTAGGAAAAATGTACCCAAATGGGAAAGAACATTCCAAAAACCGGTGAATGGATTGTCAGTCTGCTGTTGAGGTATTAAAATAAATAAATAAATTCTCTTTCCAATGTCTTAACAGCAAAATAAAACAGACATGAGAACAAAGTAGTCATACAAAGTAACATTTTTATGCAATTGTGTTTCATTAATTCAATTTCTAGTTAAAACACTATAGAGGGAAAGATAAGGGAAACGTTCGGAATGTGTGCTGCTGAGGACACAGACCAGTGACTGGACACGTCACCGTGGCCTCTCTGGCCACAGCAGAGGCCTGGCTCCCGTGCCAGGGGAGGGGCTGTGGGAGGGTGCGCTGACAAATCCAAACAGGTAACCAGTTGCAGCGCTAGGACAGGGCTGGGATGAAATACTGCAGGGACACATCCTCGTGGAGCAGGTCGAAGTGCAGCATCTTGTGACTCACGACATCTGGGGACAGGAAACGTGGTTACTGTGGAGCCTCCCACACAGACCCGCCCCACTGAAGGTGCTGTCTGCTCCCAGAGGGCCCTGCCCCCACGGGGATGGTCTGCAAAACCAAGGTCAGGCACTGCCAGGTGAAGGGCAAACTCCACAAGGAGACACATGCAGGTAGACCCAGAGGAGTGACCACAGAGCGACAGGGCTCAGCAGCCAGGACCTAGGACCCAGGACCACGAGGCAGAGGACAGGAGCTGCAGGGGGAGCGGAGGGCGGCTGCTCTGAAGGAAACTGCTGAGGCCAGAGAGAGGCAGGCGGGGAGGACACCCAGTGACAGAGCACTGCCACCCTCTTGTGGAGGCTCCCACCACCCTCAGCCCCAGGGCGGGCCAGAGTCCGATGCCTCTGCAGATATAGCCCAGGTGGACACTGAGGACCCCACTCTGCCGGCCATCACCACCCCAGGCTCCCACTGCACCCAGGATGCCCCCCTGTGATCTCTCCTCCAGCCTCTCATTCAAAAGGGCTGGTCCTTATGCAACCTTCTAGAATTTTCTACGACTTCTCTACGGAGTGCTGGTCACTAGGCACACCCCGGGCCTCCTCCTCAACTCTGCTCACAGGTGGCTCAGTGTCAGGGGCTGTGGTCTCAGCAGCACGGAGACCAGTTAGCCCTTCCTCGGGTGTGGTCAGTGAGCACGGAGCTCAGGCAGTTGTGTAGCTGAGAACAACTGACCAGAGACAGGCAAGGAGACCAGGACACAGACGTCAGGTTGAGACACAGGAAGGAAACAGAGGAATCATGAGGGGACCTAAATCTGAGCCGATGGTGTCTGGGCTGCAAGGACACCAGGTCAGATGAAGAGAGGGCGGGATGGTCAGCACACCCTCCCACAGCCCCTCTCCGGGCGCAGACCACGCGGGATGCCTGGTGAGGCAGGGCACGCCCTCCTCCGGCACCGCTGAACCCAGGAAAATCCAAGCATATGCCTGCCCATCCTGGAAACCCGAGGCCACGTGGCCGAGCTGCCACGCACTCGCGAGACCACACACCACCTGTGAGACCACAGCTGACTCAGCATGCGAAACCTGAGAACACTGGGTGCACACTCACTGCAGACGCCCCTGGTAGGGTTCACTTGCTGTCCAGCAAGAAACTGCAGGAACTTCTTGATGTCCACGTGCACCTCCGCCATCTGCTCGGGGCTGTGGTCCTGAGACACGCTGTCAGAGGCTGAAATGACAGGACACCTTTGATGTAACAGGGGACCTAAGGCAGCACATGACTTGTTTCCTTAAATAAATGAGCTGTGTCACCCTGATGTTACCACCTGGAAAAATAGTGCCAGATGGAGAGAGATATAATCATTTGTTAAGCAAGAATTTATAAGTCCTGGCTCTGAAATAATACACCATTTCCAGGAAAGGTTCATTTCCAAGGACCTGACATATGGCCCAACCTCCCTCTTTATCAGGTCAAAGGTGGCATCCCTTAGTCTGCTTATATATGCTTAACGCTTAGTCTGCTTACATATGGTTAATGCAAAGCCTCTCGTTCCAGAGTGGAAAGAAAGTGTCTTTCTTGAAAAAATTTTTTATTGATTTCAGAGAGAGGGAGAGGGAGAGGGAGAGGGAGAGAGAAACATCAGTGATGAGAGCCTTTGATCAGCTGCCTCCTGCACGCCCCCCACTGGGGATCAAACCCGAACCTGGGCTTGTGCCCTGACCAGGAATCCAACCATGATCTCCTGGTCCATGGTTCAATGCTCAACCGCTGAGCCACGCTGGCTGGGCAGAAAATGTCCTTTCAACTCTAGAAAAGCATCAGGGTAAGACCCTTTTTGTTGTTTATTAAAACAGAAAATGAGTGAGATCAGAATGAGTCCTCTCGCTCAGCATTATCAAAGCCTCGACCACATGGACCTCACTTTGCCCAGAGCACCCCCTCCACTGTGAAGTCCGGGCCCCCACAGCAACGCTAAATGTGCACAGCAACCCTGGAGGGAGACACGTGGATTCTGAAAGGACAGGGGCCTAGCGCATCTGCTGGGGACACGTGCGTGACTGGAAGGGTTTTCACGTCACTAGCAAGCACTTGCCCCAGGTCCTCAGCCTGCTCCCCTCTGCCGCCCCACCCCCGCTGTGACTGCGGCACAGGCTTGTTCACCTCGCTGAACTGATTCCGTGGTCCCTCTCACCTCGTGTGAGACAGCAACCTGATCACGTGAGAAAAGTCTGCATTTGCTAATCTAATTCTGCACGTGTTAGAGAGGCCAAAGTAGAAGACATGTCATCTACCTTCCCGACTGCCCTCCAGGTGAGAACTTGTGATCTTTAGTAGCAGAAATGGGGAGTTAAGAGCTGGGGGGACCCCAGGGTTCCAGACCCTGGGCCCAGCCTGCAGCCCCAGTCCTCATGCCCAGGAGGCCACCTTCCCATGGGGGCCTGCCCTCTCCCAAGCACACAGCAGTAGCCCGGAGTGTGGCCTCTTCCCACTCACTCGGCCTCAGCAGCTGTAAGGCAATTAACCCACAGAAAACTTACCCAGGGGAGGATTCCCAAGATCCTTAAAGTGAGTTGTAACACACACTAGTTCCGACTCTATTTTCAAGTTCAAGTCTCCATTGAGGTTGGCTTCAACAATCTGCAAATGGAGTATTTCACACCCTCTTAAGAAAGAAAAGGAAAGAAAAATAAAAAACCCACCACAGACATCAGCTTCCAGCAGACCAGGTGACCAGGGAGCCCACAGACCCCCAGCACCCTCCTGACGGCACCGAGACCCACGAGGCGTCATCAAGAGAGAGAAGAGAGGCCTGAGGACCAGGGGCTCAGAAAGCCCCGCAGAAGAGGAGCCCTCAGGGCGGAGAGCTCAGCAAGGACACCTGGAGACAGGTGGGACAGGGGCTCTGCCAGAAGGCCTGGCTCCCTCACAGCAGAAACGTCGGAGGCCACCCAGAAGAGGAGGGCACCCTGGGTTTATGAGGGGAGGGGACGAGGGAGTGGGCTCAGAAGTCCCACAGAGGCTACGGGGCGCAGTGGGCCTCCACCCAGGCTCCCTGCTGACTCAGCCCTGCACAGAGAACAAACAAGGGCCTAAGATGACTGCCCTGCCCTCCTTCTGGGCTCTGAAGCTCTCCCCACGTCTCCAGGGTGTCCCCAGAGGAAGCTCCCAGGCTGACAACGGACCAGCACCAAGGCAGACGAGGGAGCCTGATGCAGGCACTGCTCTCACAGCCTCACCGGGAGCCAATTATAAACTAAAATGAGCTCCAGAAGGCTAAGCCAGGAAAGACAATTAAGTAAGCACACCTGCAGAGATGGCCTATAAACATTTTCTCGGCTTCAGAAAACCTCTGCAATTCCAAAAATCTATGAAAACCAAACTTCACTCCAGGACCATGGTATGACTCGTGAACAGCCCACTGAGGGGCAGTTCCACAGTGGGGGCTGGGACTCAAAGACACTGAGACAGGTTCCCTTTCCCAGAAGCTGACACGTCAGCAGGGGTCCTGAGACACTAGCAGGTAACTTAGGCAGCACTGAGTGGCTCAGAGGAGGAGGGTCTGAAGGACACTGGCAGAGGGAGAAGGCCTGGGGGTCATGGCAAGAAGGTGAAGTGCTTCCCAGGGGAAGGTGGTGAGGGAAGGAACTGGCCCTGTGGGGAAGGACCAGCAGCCAGGGTGGTCCTGCAGGGAGGGTGTGGCTGTGAGACAGGGGACCAGGCCTGGCAGAGGGTGAAAATCAGAAGTTTCCGCCTCATCAGGTGGACAGTGGTTTTTAAAAGCTTCAAGAGCATAATGAAATGTGTTTTGGCTGAGTGCAGGGGGAATTCAGGGGAACCCAGCTGTAAATGGGGATCATCCACACAGTGCCCCACAACTGCCCCGAGCTGTGCTGTCCCGACACTGCTGTGGACGGACAGCCACCAAAGAGAAAAGCGACGCGCCATCTGCTTGGCACAAGAATGCTTAGACTGAGACGTGTGGCCTCAGGGAGCTTTGTGTTGGGCTCATAGGACATTCAACTCACTGCGGATAAAGTACAGTGTCCTGTCCTAACGTAAGGAAAGGAAGCCAGACTGCTGAACGCACTGAATACACTGTAAGTATGAACATGAGGCGTTAGGGCAAATACAACCACTCTCCCCAGCGAGGCGCTGGAGAGCACTCGGGCCAGTTTCCTAGGGCACCTGGAGGGCCGAAGCTCCCAGCTACAGGCAGTGCGGGGACCCAGCCCAGCAGAGCATCGGGGCGCCCACACCTTGGGGAGGAAGTTGTGACTTACAAGGTGGTTGCTGAGATTTTTCATTTTTTCCACAACGCTCTTCATAGTCTTCAAGGCTGGCAAATAAATACTGACCTACACGGCCAATGAGAAAAGTCAGAGCATGACTTTTAGACAGTCAAGTGCCGACAGGTGCTCGCACTGCCTGGGTTTGGATGCGCGTCTGCTTAAAAGCCCTGGAATCCTGTGCTTTTAAACTGTCTGATAAACTTCCTTTTAAAACATGGAAAGAGAAACAATTAGACCATCGCACTAACTCCCACCTGCTTCTGGTGACCTCGGGGACCAGGTCCCTGTGGGCGCTTCTGGTTCCGGGGCTGCCGCCCTCCAGCTAGAGGCTCCTCTGAGGGTGCACCCAAGACTCAGGCCTTTCTACCAGAAAAAGCAGCTGAGGAAGTCCCTGCACCAGTGTCGGGCGGACTCCGACAGTGCGAGAGACACTGCCCCCCCCCCTCCCCGGGGCGCCGACGCCCTCTGGTAAAATTCAACTACATTTGCTCATGGCTCCCTCAACAAACGGTGAGCAAAGGCGGAGGACCCTCAGCATCATCTTTATTTCCCATCGCCCTGGAGCAGCCTCTGCCCTCGGCTGTCCCACGACGTCCTGGACACTACAGGAATAATCTCCTGTGAGGCCCACACCGCTGCCTAAGGCCACCACTCCTACAGGAACCATGGCGGCAGAGGGCTTCCCTAGTGCAGTCACTGGGCGGGCGTTCGCTCCACCTGCGGCAGGCGGCGTTCCTGCCACACACAGCCGCTGCTTTAGGGTCTTTACGTAAGCTGCCAAAGGCAAGTATTCCAGTCTTCCTGGAGCATCGTTTAACAATGAGCATCGCTTTCTAATAAAACACACCGCCAAGACCGCAGCTGAAATCAGGAATTCAAATGACACCACCAACACTCGAGGAGCACCAGGGCCACGGGTGTCACTCACGTCAGAGTCCGGGACTGTCGGCTCTTGTAAATTCTTCCACAGTTTCCTAGGAATGACCTTTATGGGGATGTCGTGGGTCACCATGCGACTACTGCTGGACACCGACAACTGCCAAGAGAGGAATTGAGAAATGTTTTTGTAACGTCGGCATTAAAGGAAACAAGACAGAAGACCTGAAGGACAGACAATAAAGCTAAAATTCCAGAATCTAAGTGGGATGTTCTCCGCTGGTGGAAACCAGGTGCAGTTACCTTGCGCTGAGGTCACGGGAACTGACTCGGGGGACCGTGTTTAGCGGGTCTGTCACCCCCCAAAGTCCCCCCTGTAGCCCACCCGTCAGGGAGCTGGGCCGCCTCCTGCTCACCAGCTCTATGGAGACGGTCAGGCAGGGGAAGTGCTTGTTGGTCAGCTTGACCTTCAGGGCCCTGGCGTTGGGCGCGGTCTTCAAGGCTCGAGAGAGGTTTTCGGACGTGAGCTCCACGTAGATCTCATTGTTTTCCTCGGAGACGCCCTCCATCTGGAACTCGCTGAAGAAGTTCTCCTGGGGGGCAGGGGTCACGGGGTCACCGGGGGTCACGGGGCCACAGGGTCACGGGCCCCAGGCGCGCTCCGCTCACCTGGGGCAGCTCGCACCACATGCTGACGCCGC